TGCCTCCCTAATTTAGGATGCTCCCCCTCCCCCCCCCCCCCCCCCCCCCCCCCGCAACATTCAGAGTCCCCAAAGTGAATCTGCCTTGCTTTGCTGATAAGGGTGGAGGAGCTGCTCCTCTCCATGTTCTGGGCTTCAGTGGCTACAACGTGTCCGTACTGGCTGATACTTTTACCAAAGTGCACATGCGGAGACAGCTAGCTAGCTAGCTGTTCTGCTTGGAAGGCCCTGGAAACTGGAGTAGCTAAGCTCCCCTTTCCACGGAGCTTTCCACAAGGATAAGGTTGCATGCTTGCAGAGGCTCATCCTCTCTTCCTGCCACAGTATCAGGATTCCACCTTAATCATTCCATCATCCTGCCATCCCTGTCTCATTTCTCATATGGAAAAACTTCCACACGCAGCCCCTGCCCCCTCCAAAATGCAGCATGAGCCACCATTCTCTCCATGTGTTATCTGGTCCCTCCTGCTCTAGCCCTTAAATTGTCCCGTCTGGCTTTGTGTTTCATTTGACCCTAATACACTGGGTCGCACTGTCTAAAAGAGAATTATGTCCCCTTCGATGTCTGAGTGCATTTCTCATTTCTTACTGCTGCTCCTGAACAGATCTGTAACTTCAAGGTTAAGATAAGACACATTCCATCAGAACTATGTCGTCATCCTTGCCAGCTCCTGATCTGTGACTGTCCGAGAGATTTACAAGACAATTGCATGCCATTCTTTAAAGGATATTATGGTTGGACTCTTGACTCCTGGCATCAGGCCCAATTCGATTTGTCAGCTGCTACAAAACCCATTTCCCGAAGAGCCAGGGACCTCAGCTTGTGTGTCCTTTTCAGCAGTTGTTAAGGGTGGGTAGGAGGGGATGCGTTGGAATCTTTATTTTTTGCTTGGGCGAGCAATACACAACAGAATAACTTTGGCCCTTTCCTTGTTGCTTTTTGCTTTGCTTTTTCTGAAACATTTTGCCAAAACATTAGTGGTTGATGTCATTTTTTCTGTCCCTTATCCCTTCACGGAGTAAGCACTAAGCTTTTCATTCTGCCATTTCCAGGGTTTTCTGAGTTTGAAAGAATGAGGGTATTTGACCCTTGGGGGAGAGCATACCTACTCGATCTCATTGTGAATGCATCTAGTTAACAAGGACACGCTTCCGCTTACTGTTGAATGTGGGAGGTGCTACCCGTGTTAGGGGGTTGCTGGCTTTGGAATTTGGGAGGTCACTTCCTTCCTGCTGTTGTCTTCGCTCTAATATATTTTTACAAGAAGTTCTCTTTCAGGGGCCATACTTTGCGTGGAATACAGGTAGTAAGCTTCATTTGCTCTGCTTTAATCCAGGATTAGATCTAAAATGTTTTCCCAGGATGACCGTGGCAAATGAATCAGTCCGACCGCTGTTTAAATTTTTTGGTTAACTGGTAATGTTGAGGTTAAAAAGCAGGGTTTCTCCGCCTCCCTCCATTTCCTTCCTGATGGCTCCATTCAGGTTTAAGCAAGGCCCCTGTGATTTAAAAAAAAAAAAAACCCACAACTTTGTTCTCACACCCTGTAGCTTCTTCTGTTTGATGGCCAAAATAGTCATCATTCCCTGTTTTTGTTAGTTTTTTTTTTTCTTTTTCTTAGGTTGTCCATTTTCTTTACTGGCCATGGTAGCAGCCTGTGGCACTAGAAAGTTTCGTGTCTGTTCAAGAGTCGGGATTTAGAGCTGAATGGTTTGTTAGACTGGGAGGAAAAAAATATAGGACCTTCGTCTCTAAGTATGCCTGCCTTGTACGAGTCTCACTGCCAAGAATTAGGGATATATGAATTTGTTATGTTGTAGGGTTTTTGACCCCGAGTACGGCAGCAACCTCAATTCTTGTCTCGCAGGAAAGAATTTTCCTGTGGACACAGTTTAGTTTTAAAGTAAGATTTATTAGAAAAAGTTGAGAACGGAGACTCCCATCCTAGTGACCAGAGGGGGCTTTGAAATCCTCTGCCATAGTGGCAGGAGGAAAAATAAAAAAAATCCCATATCAGTGGTGGGGAAAGCGTCTTTTAAAGGTTTAGCTCAAAGATGTTTCTCCATAAACAAAGAGAATTCCTAGTTTCCATGGTACCTGGCCTTGGGACAAAAGGCCAGAAAGGTGTCACTGGCCAACTTCCTTGGTCCCTTTCTAATGATGAAGAGGCCAGTGTGAAGCCCTCCTCCTTGGCAATGGGGAAGACAGAATGGGGCTGATCCTTCAGGAGGGAAATAGATATGTTAATGTTGCCCTTGTCTCTTGGGGAAGCATTCCTGATAAGATGTGCACTTGTCTCAGGAGAGACAGCTCTGGTGAATTCAAGACATGGTGGGGAAAATACTGTTTATGTTTGAGGAAAAATGACTTAGGGACCCAGAATGCCCTAACTGCATACTACCTAGTCTAACTCATCTCATAGTTGTATATGAATGGTGTATCCAGTAGGTAGTACTCATTAAGAAATCTGATTGATAGCAGAACACAGAGCATTACAAAAACAAAGAACAAAAACTGCTTTCAGTTCAGTGGTAATGGTTCTGGCCAGACTATTTCTCTTCTGTAACTGCTATATTTAGGGATTTTTTTTCACCACCTATTATATCGATAGAAAGGTTTTTGGGGGGGTAGTGCCTCTAAGTGGATAGTCTATCCTGTAATCCTTCCCAAGAAGGAAGGTTGTATCTTTAAAATACTTCCCCTCCCCCCTTTCCTGTTATTTCTCCCCCCCCCAAGCAATTTTAATTATCTGTTCAGTGACAGATGGTGGAAAGGCCTTGTTCAAAGTGCTTTGGGTGGGCTGCATTAGGGAGTGGGTGATTTGTACTGATGTTGTATAAAGACCCAGCCTTTCTCCTTTCTTCCTGCTAGTTGGGCTGTAATCTTGTTAAATGATCTTCAAATGCTATTGATTAATTTACAGTACTCTAAGAATAAGCGCAGGTTTTGGATTTAAAACTCAAGAACCAATTCCCTGGAGTTCTGAATGCCTTAGCCTTGAGACCAAGGAAGCTCCCCTCCAACTTCTTCACCCAGTCTCCGTTGAAAAGGAAAGTTAAGCCTTTTAACTTTTCCATTTGCCTCTCCCCCTTAGTCTAGTACGGCTGCCAGTTGCCATGGCAACGGACTGGGACAGCTGCGCAGTGGCGCCCAGGCAGCTGGGAGGGGGCGGGGGAGCTGCCAGCCCGCCAAGCCCTAGACCTGGGAGGGGAGGCCCCTCCTGTTAGCCCAGAGGGAAAGAAAGAACTGGGGCGATCCGGTAGGTAAAGGAGGGAACCCCCCATTCATCTACCTTTGGGGCTCCTCTTCTGCATGAAGGTACAAAAGGAAATTTTCCCCTTTCCTCTTTCAAACTGAAGAACACATATGTAAATCTTAGTGGGTTTTTTTTTTTTTCCTGGTGAGGCAGGGGAGGCCATAGCCACAATGCTTAACTGCATGCATCTAACATGGGGCTGGCTTTAACCCCAGCGCTCTGACCTCAACTGCTCAGCTCCCGGAAATTCCAAGGTGAGTGGGGGTGGGGGTAGGGTACTCTCCCTGGAATATGACATTTCCTGTCTCTAGTGAGGTCGAAGGCTGTTTGTATGTTAAATAAACCAACTCAGATATATTTTCTTGCAGCTTAGGACCACCTGAGCTAAATTCAGAAAAACCCTTGCCTACATTCTCCCACTACTCCCTCTTCCAAATCAAGTATTTTAGTGAAAACTTATTTTATGATAGGGCAATAATAGATACAAGTAAATAGTTAGGTGGGCATTCCTAATGCTAGGAAGTTTGAGATTGGTTTCCAACTATATGTTCCTTATAATAATTTCTTAGATTTTGCTAATTTGAATTGATCGATGCAATTTTATGCTCCTTGAACATGATTCTGAGGTTAGTGGTGACCCTCCCTGTTCCTGGGAGTGGTCAAGATGGAAGGATTGCAGAGTGCTGAGTAACAGCTTTCCAGAGGAAAAGCAAAATGAAAATGGAGTTCAGCTAAGAAAACAATTCCTTCTCCTTCTCATGCAGACTGGAGGCACCATTTAGCACGGCTAAGGAAGAATTCGTAAAAATGATGAGTGACAACAGGGTGGGAATTTTGAAAACTGGCTTCTCTGTTGAGCACCCCCTACCGTGCATATTTCTGAGCTTAACTCAGTTTCCATTTGTGTTGCCTCCCTGGGCTTTCCTGGGGCCTCTGAATGGTTCTTCTGTGTTTCCAGGAGACTTCATGTTGATGTGGAGTCTGGGGCCAGAGGCCCTCTCCTCCCCTTCCTTTGGCCCAGAGTCAACTTAAGAGGAGAGCTGCCTCCTTCACTGTTTGCCTTAGTTGAGCTTTGGGGAATTCTGGAACCATTTTGGTAATTTTTAATTTGGGGGTATTTTTTTTCCCCTTCCTGCCTCCCTTTCGCCACCACATGAGCTGGCTAGAGAGGAGACTTAGTGTGTTAAAGATGTCAGCCTTGCTGTTGGACACTGATGTATGCTGCAAAGGGACAAGCTCAACTTGTTCAAGGGAAATGTACCGAGTCATGGGAAATGTGGCGAGAGCTGCTTGGGCAGGTCGTGTTTGTGCTGCACTGAGACGGTCAAAATGCTCTGAACAGAGAATAGTTACATTTCGGTAGCTTTTCATTTCTTTCTTTTTCAATAAAGACGCTTATTCACCACAGAGGGAAAGATTTTCATTCCATCTTGGTTTAGTTATCCAAAGGGTTTCCACATTTCTTGAGTTCTGGTCCACCACAGTCCTGCTTGTCTTTCTGAAGTTAGAAGAATCCCACTACCTAATAATTTTGATCTCTTGAGTTGAGGAGAAAGTTGTACCTGGGGAAGTGAAGATGAGCCCGTTTTTTAATCAAATTCCTAGGGTTCCTTAATAGAGTGATTCAAGACCCAGAAAACTGCATGGCAACTTTGTGTTGGGGTGCTGCCCCCCCAGTCCAAGAGGCCAAGACTCCCACAGCCCTGCGCATGGGTTCCTAACCATCTGTCCTCCCCTTTGCAGAAACCCCGTGACCTTAGTCCTTCAGGGCAACAGCGTGCAACATGGGAAAGAAAACCAAGAGGACAGCGGACAGTTCTTCTTCAGAGGATGAGGAGGAGTACGTGGTGGAGAAGGTTCTAGACAGGCGCGTGGTTAAGGGGCAGGTGGAGTATCTGCTGAAGTGGAAAGGCTTTTCTGAGTAAGTACCTCTGTTGGGATGGAGGACCCTGCAGGCATGAGTGCCTAGACTGACTTTTTCACAAGCCACCACTAGCCACGTCTTCTCTCTCTCCTACCTGCCCACCTTTCCTAACAGGCAGAAAACATGGCACAGACTGAAGAAATGTTTCTCCATTTAGGACAGGCAGTGTAAGGCCTTGGCTTCAGGGTACAAACCAGCAAGCCAGCTTGTCCTGGTCCAGATTTTTGCTCTACCACTTACAAGGTGAAATGGATGATAGTAGCTACATTCCTTAATTTTTTTCTTACTTCTTAGCAAAGAAATAGTACTTAACGGGACTAACGTGATGGCCTAATAGCTAAATTCTCATGTTACAAGCTCCAGGATCCCATATAAGTGCTGATTCATGTCCCGTTAGCCCTGCTTCCCATCCAGCTCCAGCTTGTGGCCTAGAAAAGCAGTCAAGGATGGCCCAAAGCCTTGGGACTCTGCATGCATGTGGGAGATCCTGGCTTCGGATCAGCTCAATTCTGGCCGTTCTGCTCACTTAGGGAGTGAATTAGCACACAGAAGCTCTTTTCTCTCTCTATATATATATATCTGATTTTCCAATACAAATCTTTGGAAAAAAAAATAGTACTTACCATGGAGTTTTTGGATGGATGCGAAGGCCTCACAAAGCTCAGTGAACTGCTATTCTTTTGGGTGTAACTAAGCTAAAATCTGTATACTTAAGCAAAGGGGGAAAAGTCTGTTTTATAGCCCATGATTATCCCAAGCTGCATCTCTCTCTTTCTCTCTCTCTTTCACATTTATTTTGATGGAAAGGCACACAGAGGAGAGACAGAAAATTCCTTCATTCCTGGTTTACTCCCCAAATAGCCACAATGGCCAGAACTGAGCTGATGGGAAGCCAGGAACTCTTTTGGGCATCCCTTGCAAGTTTAAGGTCCCAGGGCTTTGGACCATCCTCCACTGTTTTCCCAGGCAGTAAGCAGGGAGCTGGATGAGAAGTGGAGTAGCCAGGTCAGCTCTTACAGGCGGGGGATTGGCTAGTGGAGCCATTGCTGCAGCGCCCAGGCTGGATCTTGGAAGTGTCCCAGGTTGAAACAACGTTATCTTAATGTAAGATTTAAGCCTGAAGCCAACAATTGATTTAAAAAAACTTCAGACATAGAGATGATGCAAAAGGAATTGGAGTAAACATTCAAATGAGAACCATCTACTTTTTTTTTTTTAGATTTATTTATTTTTGGGCCCGGCACAATGACCTAGCAGTTAAAGGCATTGCCTTAAATGTGTGTGGGTCCCATATGGGCACCAGTTCTAATCCTGCTGGCCCTGCTAAACCATTCAGCTCCCTGCTTGTGGCCTGGAAAAGCAATCAAGGACGGCCCAAAGCCTTGGGACTCTGTACCTACTTGGGAGACCTGGAAGAAGCTCCTGGCTCCTGGCTTTGGATCAGCGCAGCACCAGCCGTTGTGGTCACTTGGGAAGTGAATCTTCAGACATCGGTTGGCAGATCTTCGCTGTCTCTCTTCTTCCCTGTATACTTGACTTTGTAATAAAAAAAAAAAAGATTTATTTATTTATATAAAAGATTTATTTATTTTTATTGGAAAGGCAGATTTATAGAGAGACAGAAAGATCTTTCATTCACTGGTTAACTTCCACGTGGCTACAACAGAGCTGAGTTGATCCGAAGCCAGGAGCCAGGAACTTCTTCCAGGTCTCCCATGTGGGTGTAGGGTCCCAAGATTTTGGGCCATCCTCTGCTGCTTTGCCAGGCCATAAGAAGGGGGCTGGAAAGGAAGTGGAGCAACTAGGACACAAACTGGTACCCATAGGGGAATCTCAGCACATGCAAGGCGATAACTTTAGCCACTAGGCCACTGTGCTAGATGCTACCTACTTTCTATAATTAATATTTTATTTACTTCAAAGGCAGGGAGATAGAGAAAGGGATCTTCCATCCCTTGATCCCCTCCCAAGACACCTACAGCAGGCAAAGCTGGAACATGCTGCTAAGGTCAAAAGCCAGCAGCCAGCAGGTCAGTCTGGGTTGCCCGTGTGGGTGGAAGGAACCCAACCTCTTAGGCAGTCACCTACTGCCCCCCAGAGTATGCACTAGCAGGAAGTTAGAAGTGGGAGCAAAGCCTGTACCAGCATTTCAATATGGGATTCAGGCCTCTCAGGTGACATCCGAACCGCCATACAAAATGTCTGCCCTTGTAGTTAACATTTTTGACTAATCTGTTCTTTTAAGTAAGTTAATATATTTTAAGATTAATACTGAGGGGCCTAACACAGAAACCTAGTGGCTAATGTCCTTGCCTTATATGCGTTGGGATCCCATGTATTTGCCAGTTCGTGTCCCAGCTGCTCCACTTCTCGTCCACCCCAGTGCTTGTGACTTGAGAAAGCAACAGAGGAAGACCCATAACCTTGGGACCCTGCACCTGGGTGGGAGACCCAGGAGAAGCTCCTGGTTCCTGCCTTCAGGTTGGCTTTCTCTCTGTCTCTTCTTTCTGTAAATCTGACTTTCCAATAAAAATAAGTAAATCTAAATAAATAAATAAAAGGATTGATACTGCGGTTGCTGATTAGAATTTGTTAGACAGTAACTGGCTTTATGCTGAAATGTTAGATTATTCTTTCCTTTGAAATAAATAGAACAGAGCTCATTTTAAAGCCTAGAAAAGTAGTTTAAAGGTGAAATAGGTAAGGCTCTATTAGATCAGAAGTAGAGCAGCCTGGACTAGAACCAGAACCCATATGTCGTACAGGCATTGCAATGTGTAAAGTTAGCTTGTTGAGCCAGTGCTCTGGCTCCTCCCTGAAATTATTCTTTTTTTTTTTTTAAGATTTATTTATTTTCATTACAAAGTCAGATGTACAGACAGGAGGAAAGACAGAGAGGAACATCTTCTGTCTGATGATTCACTTCCCAAGTGACCGCAACGGCCGGTACTGTGGCTATCCGAAGCCAGGGAGCCAGGAACTTCTTCCAGGTCTCCCATACAGGTACAGGGTCCCAAGGCTTTGGGCCGTCCTTGACTGCTTTCCCAGGCTACAAGCAGGGAGTTGGATGGCAAGTGGAACAGGCAGGATTTGAACCAGCACTCATATAGGATTCTGGCATGTTCAAGTCGAGGACTTTAACCACAAGGCCGCTACGCTGCGCCCTGAAATTTCTGCTAATGATATATTTTACTTACTCTAAAATGTCAAAAATGTTATCAGCATTAATATACAAATGTATTTTCTATTACTCTTGGTTATTCTTTAAAATCTAGGGTACAGTGTAAAGTATAGGAGCTAAATATATTACAAGTCATTGTTCTGCTGATACTTTGGCTAAAGGTATGAATCAGGAGCCTTTGAAACACACTGAAGGTTATTTCACTGCACAAATTAAGATTTCTTGGGGCCCAGTGCAAATACTCAATTAGCTAACCTTGCCTCGCTCCAAGTGCTGGGATTCCATAGGGGCACCAGTTCATGTCCCGGCTGCTCCACTGCTCCACTTCCCATCCAGCTCCCTGCTTGTGGTCTGGGAAAGCATCAGAGGACAGCCCAAATTCTTGGGACCCTGCACCCAGGTGGCCAACCTGGAAGAAACTCTTTAAGAAAACTTTTTGGGGTCCGGTGGCATGGCCTAGTGGCTAAAGTCCTCACCTTGAACACTCCAGAATCCCATAAGGGTGCCAGTTCTAATCCTGGCAGCTCTGCTTCCCATCCAGCTCCCTCTTGTGGCCTGGGAAAGCAGTTGAGGACGGCCCAAAGCTTTGGGACCCTTCACCCACGCGGGAGACCTGGAAGAAGTTCCCGGATCCTGGCTTAGGATCAGCATAGCATCGGCCGTCGCTCTCACTTGGGGAGTGAATCATCGGACAGAAGATCTTCCTCTCCGTCTCTCCTCCTCTCTGTATATCTGACTTTGTAATAAAAATAAAATAAATCTTTAAAAAAAAAGAAAAAATTTTAAAAATTTGTCTTCTGGAGCCCTATGGGCCTTTTAGGTGGGACAGTACACGCATTGTAGGATTCTGAGCATTGCTGTTAACCCTAGTTGTTGCACTCAGATGGCACAGGCATTAGAATCTGTCCTTGGTATTTCCGAGGAGGAATACCTGAGAAGGGAGCCATTGAGTTTGAGAGAGCAAGAAGACTGGGAGATAGGCCCTCAGATGAGGTTGGGGAGGCTACCAAATGCATTAGGCAGTTGTCAGATTGTCCTCTCTGCAGAGGAAGAAATGTACCGAGTTACTTATTGAAAGCAAGGTAGCATGCTGGTGGTGGAGCAGGCATCCATTATCTCATGTCTTTGGCCCTAGAACTTAAGCTCTCATAATTATATCATGCTGTTTTGTTGGGTGGAAATTAGCTGAAGTGCTAACAGTGGTGTCCAAATGGTAGGAAAGGAGGCAATCCCTGCATGTGGGACTCCTTTCTCGGATCAGTAGGGACTTGCTGCTGCTGCCACCACCACCAAGCCACTACCTGGGTTCCAGTGTGGCCATCTCTTGGTTCAATGTATTGATTTCCCCTGGAATGGTGAACTGTACTGTTTGGGAGCTTAAAGGAAAGGTTGTTGTGTGAGGACTGTTTTGCTGAGAGAGGTAATATGCAAGAGATGCTCTCCCAATAGTAGCTTAAATGGTGTAGGAATAAATGTTGTCTCAATCTTAGACTCCTTTGATAGGAAGTTATTTTTAAGTCTAAATATTGGAGATTTTCTCCTCTTTCTGCTTCCTTTTTGAGTCACGTTATTTGCTTGGTGTATGTTAAGAACTGTTCCTGTCCAAGACGCCTTAGTGTAGAGGCTGTTACAGTGTTGGGCACACTGGCATCCCGTGTGAGCACCGTTGGCTTTCAGCTACTTGACTCCCCATTCTTTCTGTGCTGATGTGCCTGGGAAAGCATCAGAGCCAGATGGAGCCAAGGCAATTGATCCAGCCCTAGCCAGTGAGGCAGTTCAGAAAGTGAAGCAGCAGATGGAGAGTTCTTTCTCTAACTGTACCTTTGAAATAATAATTTTTAAAAGTATGCTTAACTTAAAAGATAAAAATAATGAAGCATTTATAAGTAAAGCATAAATTTAAACAGTTGTCTGTAAATCAGTGAGGGGTTTACAAAAACAAGGATAAATTTATGGATATCTTTTTTTTTAAGATTTATTTATTTTTATTACAAAGTCAGATATAGAGAGAGGAGGAGAGACAGAGAAGATCTTCTGTCCGATGATTCACTCCCCAAGTGACCAAAATGCCCTGTGCTGTGCAGATCCAAAGCCAGGAATCTGGGAACTTCCTCCAGGTCTCCCATGCAGGTGCAGGGTCCCAAGGCTTTGGGCCATCCTCAACTGCTTTCCCAGGCCACAAGCAGGGAGCTGGATGGGAAGCAGAGCTGCCAGGATTAGAACTGGCACCCATGTGGGATCCCAGCGCATTCGAGGTGAGGACTTTAGCTGCTAGGCCATGCTACTGGGCCCTATATATATATCTTAAGGGAAACAAATCTTTGCTCTGGAACCAGAAGAACCTTTGTGGCAGCAGCTAAGGGTAAAGGGGATGTCTGGTCCAGGTTTTACCAATGTGGGTACCTTTTTTGGCTTTACTCGTAAGTTCTTTTTTTTTTTTAAGATTTTATTTTTATTGGAAAGGCGGATATACAGAGAGGAAGATCTTCTGTCCGATGATTCACTCCCCAAATGAGAGCAATGGCCAATGCTATGCCGATCCGAAGCCAGGAGCCTCTTCCGGGTCTCCCATGCGGGTGCAGGGTCCCAAAGCTTTGGGCTGTCCTCAACTACTTTCCCAGGCCACAAGCAGGGAGCTGGATGGGAAGTGGGGCTGCCGGGATTAGAACCAGCGCCCATATGGGAACCACTGGGCCATCGTGCCAGACTTGTAAGTTCTTAATGTGGTTAGTTCTGGCTTCTTAAAAATCTGTGCCGAGAATATAAGGTAGAACTTGGAGGATAACCAGTTATTCTCATAGCAGCGCTCTTTTAATCAAATTTAGCTAGGTAGAATGGTTTAATTTATTTTTGTTTGTTGATAGAAAGGTATGTTTTGATTCCCAGCCGATTATAGACTTGAGCCCAGAGCACTTGGATTAATGCACTCCACATGCTCCTTCCTGGTTGTCTTCTGCTTTGCCTGTACTGCAGTGATTGAAAACCATCCTTCCTTCTTCTCAGTAACTATTTACAATCCTCTAATACTGTCTGGCATTTTGTCAAAATATGAGTAACACTGAAGACAGGGACTAGTGAGGGTGCCTGACTTATCAGGCTGTTCTCTCTTCAGTAGCCGCACAGGCGATTATCTGAAATCACCCTGTGAGTTGGGGTTTTTAGTGCTTTATTGGGGCATAACATACATCTACCTTAAAATGTGTCCTTTGGAATTGTGCAGTTCCTTGACGGTTTGCATCTCAGGGCTGTGCAGCAGTCAGCACGCTCTGCAGGATGCTCGCTTACCGCCAGTTCTCCTGAGGCATGTGCAGTCCTTTCCCAGCCCCAAGGCAGCCACCAGTATGTTTTCTGTCTCCATATTTGTGTTTCCTAGGCCTTTCATACGTTAATAGTCTTTTTGTGCCTGGTTTTTTCCACTTAGTGTAATATTTTTAAGGTCTTGCAAGTTGCGGCATATATTCTTTGTATTTTGGGTTTTTGTTGTTGTTGCTAAATAGTATTCCATTATATAGCTACACCACATTTTGTATAACCTTCACCAGTTGATAAACTGGTGAATTGTTTGCTGGTTTTGATTACTAAAATACTTGCTGTAAGCAATTGTGTACATAATTTCTTCGTTTCTCTTACAGGAATTAGGATCAAGCTTGTTTCTCCTTCAAAGCCCAGGGTTTCTGTTCCTCACCTTACATGTCCTTTTCTAAGGCATTGACTTTTTTTTACCCTGTTTTCCTTTTGTGTTCATCCTTCTTGCCCAGGGAGCACAATACTTGGGAACCTGAGAAAAACTTGGATTGCCCTGAGCTAATTTCTGAGTTTATGAAAAAGTATAAGAAGATGAAGGAGGGTGAAAACAACAAACCCAGGGAGAAGTCAGAAAGCAACAAGAGGAAATCCAGTTTCTCGAACAGTGCTGACGATATCAAATCAAAAAAAAAGAGAGAGGTAAGCTTCGTTTTTTTTCTTAAGCTATTCTTTCATTCCAAGAGAGAGGGAAGGAGAGAGAAAGAAAAAGAAAACTGCCTCATATCTGTCTTGATGTATATAACCTGTACAGGGTAGATTGTTGAACAAAAGAGCTTTCAGGAGGTGTTGGTTGGCCACAGTGCCCCCTCCTGGGTGAGTGAGAAATACAGTTTGTTTCAACTCAGTAGTAGTACTAATGTGGGAAAATCATTTCTATAAAACTTAAACCGCTCTCCACCTTCTCCTGAAACAGAAGTCTAGTTATCTTAGGAGGGTCTTTGGTGGATTTTTGAGCCACTTTTTCTTTTGTTTCAAGGTTGGCATTTACTTTGAACCCTTTCTTGATTGAGATGAAATACACATGCAGCTTATCATCTGAAAGTCTACATTTCAGCAGCAGCATTTACATTCCCGCCTGATCCTTTTATTTCTACATAATATGAATAGAAATGAATTTGGGGGCTCCAACTATTAGAGTGATGCTGGCATCCTGTGTGGGTGCTCATTCAAGTCCTGGCTCCTTCATTTCCAATCCAGCTGCTGCTAGTTCACCAGGTGTCGCTGTCCTGCAGCGATGGACTTGGTGCACGGAGCCAATAATAGCATGTATGGACTCTGACTGACGGTCAAAAGCCGAAGTTTATTAGTGGCATCAGGGTCACTTAGGACAAGGGAGGAGGTATTGAGCTTATCTATGGAACCCATCAATTGTTTCTATACTCTTATTTGGAACTCTTATTTTGTATATCCCACCCAGTGTTTTCATTCACATGCTGTCCACTCAGCTGTTCTCATACAGATGATACCCAATCAGTCACACAAATGGCATCCGTCCAGTTCTCATACAAATGTTATCCCATCAGTTGTAATCCTGTGCTCGCTGACCTTGTAGGGTCACAATGTCCTTCTACAGCCAGGGAAAACAGCAGAAGATGACAGAAGTCTTATCACCCTTGCATCCTTGTGGGAGAACCTGGATGGAGTTCCAGACTCTGGCCTTCAGCCTGTCCCAGCTCTGACCGTGGAGGCCATTTGGGGAATGAACCAGCAGATGGAAGATTCTGTCTTGCCCCTCACTCTGTCTCTCACTCCCACTTTGGCTTTCAAAGAAATATATTAAATATTTTTTAAAACTTATTTTTCTTTTACTACGATATTTTTGTTAACATTAGGATATATTTGTGAGATTTGATTTGCTTGCTTTGCTCTCTGTTCAGTTCTCAGCTAACTAGTACAGGCATTGTTACTGTCTTCTTTTCTCTCCTTCTTTAAGCTTTAAAAACATGTTTTGTTTTGTTTATTTGAATGACAGAGATCCTCCATCTGCTAGTTCATTCCCTGAATTCCCTCAGTGTCTGGGACGAGGCCTGAGTGAGGCCTCAGTCTGGGCCTCTTACCTGCAGGGCAGTGGGGACCTGGTAATTCCCAGGTGAGTTAGCAAGGAGTTCGATTGCTAGGGAAACAGCCAGGACTTGAGTGGGTACCCATATGGGGTATCAGCATCACACACTGCAGCTAATCCACTGTGCCGTGATACTGGCTCGCAGAATACACATCAGCAGGGAGCTGGAATCAGGAGTAGAACCAACTCTTGAACCTAGGTACTCTGATGTGGGTGTCTGGGGGGCGGGGTAGGGAGATAACTCAACAGCTGTAACAGATGCCTATTCTATCTCTTTTTCTTTCTTATCTCTTTGCCAAGTGTGAATGGCCAGGCCAACACACACTGAACCACTCTCAGCTTTCACTCCTTTCATTTCAAGTTTAAAGCCTTTTGTGGTGGAGATCTATCATACAATTCAAGTTAGAAAAAATAAAAGCATAGGGCTACATTTGAGTCTTCTAGCATAGCATCCCTGCCACAGGGACCCCTGTTTATCTTGGTTCTACTTGGGTGTCCATCTTCCCAGGACATGAGATGTCACCATCCTTCCCCACCGCACGTTAGGATCCTCTTTGGCAGTGATAGGAGGGTTGCTAGAAAAATAATCTTCACTGCCCAAGATGAATTACATTCAAATTTCTGTGGGTTGGAACCAGGCATTGGTGTTTGATAAAGGCTCTGCAGACAGTTCCTGGATTCCAGACGAGAGAAAATGGAAGAGCAGCATCTTTTTTTTTTTTTTTTAATATATTACAAAGTCAGATATACAGAGAGGAAGATCTTCCATCCGATGATTCACTCCACAAGTGAGCACAACGGCCGGTGCTGCACGAATCAGAAGCTGGGAACCAGGAACCTCTTCCGGGTCTCCCACGCGGGTGCAGGGTCCCAAAGCTTTGGGGCGTCCTTGATTGCTTTCCCAGGCCACAAGCAGGGAGCTGGATGGGAATCAGGGCTGCCAGGATTACAACTGGCGCCCATATGGGATCCTGGCTTTCAAGACGAGGACTTAAGCCACTAGATCACAGTGCCGGGCCCAGCTTTTCAAGAGTAATTGAAATGATGAGATTGGAGGCTGTGAGTGGAAGGGGACTCTCTGTGTCTGCCTCCCTATTTGTTTCATTAATTCCATTTTTTACAGCTTGTTTTTAAACTGCTCTGTTGTGAGGTCTGTACATGATTATGATTTATTGTGCTGATAAAGGATTGCACAAGGCATTCTCCAAAGGAGCTGGAACTTGATTTTTTTTTCCTTTTCTCTCTCTTTTTTAATTATTCCTTTGTATTCTGGCTTTTCGATTCATTTGCTAACTAAGTGAATAGAGTAAAAACAGGATAATATAAGACTCTGAAGGAGCTGTTGATGACTAGCAACATGTGTTTCCTCAGCTTGTGTTTTTGTCCTCTTAAAAAGGAGCATCCCAAATGTTCTGGCTTGGGGCCTCTGGCCAATGCAGTCTTGTTTCCAAGCCATGTTCTGAAGCTGCTGGCCTTCAAAACCCCCACCACCACGTGGTGATGTTTGATGGCATTGTTGACAGTGCTGGGGCTAGTAGGTAGGCAGCTAGAAAGATAGCTGATGGTATGTTTGAAGGTGTGGGAGAGGATTGTTTCTGAGACCACTGCAGGAGAAATTTGTTAGTCGGCATTATGCCTGACTTAAGTTTACTGCCTGGGTGATGATTTTAGCATTTTCCTCGCCTCAGCTCCTTCTCAGCGGCTTGAGCATTTTTCTTCCACACTGCCCTCCTTTCCCTCCCCATGTGGCAAACTGTTTTCAGCCGCCAGCTATGATTTACTACCCCGTCCATGCACCAGCATTCCAGCTGTGAGCAGCTGTGTGCACATCTGGGAGCCTCTTCCCCTTAAGCACCCCCAAAAGAAGCTATGTTTTTAAAAGCTGGTATCTCCCCCTTGATGCATGCTTGGAATTTCCTTCCTATTGTGGGTTCTGGTATCTTTGGGGACCACCTGGACCTGAATGCTTTGTATCTCACAAGAGAAAAGTGAGATGAATATCAGGGTAAAGAGATTTCATTATGAAAATCAGACACTGGAGAGTCAGTTCATTTGGGCAGTCTTTAAAATCTCTTTTTGGTATTACTGCTAAACTTGCATACTCTTTTTATAATATTTTTTTTTTAAGTACTTGTCCTAAAAAGAAAAATTACCTATTCTATGTAACATTTTACTTTTTTGCTGTCACCAGTGCCTTTTCTTAACCTGTTATTTTATGTTTTTAATAAAAATCCAAATATTTATGTTACCCCCCTACTACTAACAGACGCAGTGTGTATCTGTCTTCACATGGACCTGACCATCTGCTAAAGTAGCCGTATTTGTTTCTGTGTATACATTTTCTCAAATATTTTCTCTTTCAACTACAAAATTTGAACTGCCAAGAGCATATGCAAAGATGAATGAGAATTTCTTGTCATTGTTACAGTACAAACACTGCAAGTGTCACCACCAGTGTCACCACACCTGGATGCGGCCTTGTCGCCTTGCCTGGGTGTCAGGGGATTAGTGTAGATGGCACTCTTCAACTAGTGTATGGGTTTGAGATCTTTGAGATTTGCCACCTTGTAGTATTGGTCTTGCATCCTTCTCTTCCATAAGTGTGCATTTCACTGTGAGAGGATGCATTCAAATGTATTGGCCGTTGGAGTTCCTAAAACTGAGGTGCTTTCAGGGTAACTTGGGCTTGGCTTTAATCTCTGGTGCTATAGCTTCGATGTAGTCAGCTTGACAGTGTGAAGGAATGAGTAGGATTAGAAGAGTTCCCACTTGAATTGCAGAGTACCTCCCAGGGTGTTAGGGTTTAGGAGGTTACTCATCCTAATCTTTTGATGAAATAGAAAACATAACCAGGTATTGTTGCATCTCTTGACGTCATACCTGAAATTGTGTTTCTTAAATTCTAAAATGTTTCTGAATTGCTGACTGAAGTGGTAGCAAGTGATACTTAACTTAGGTTGTGCTTTTGTTAACCTGAGAAACAGGGTCTGTTTATAAGCTCTAACTTTTCTTTATCTTCCATTTATAGCAGAGCAATGATATCGCTCGGGGCTTTGAGAGAGGACTGGAACCAGAAAAGATCATTGGAGCAACAGATTCCTGTGGCGATTTAATGTTCCTAATGAAATGGTGAGAGATGGGCCTCACTTCGTAGTTGTGGTTATTTTGCCCGTGACTTCAATTTGCATGGACGATAGGGTGGCTGGACTGAAATTTTCCAAGCTAATATATTTTTGTAATGATTTATTTTTATTGGAAAGGCAGGTCATTGTTGGGGTTCTTTAATTAGTATGAGCTGTGGGCATAAAATGGGTGTTAGGATTTAGAACAGACTTAAGACATATTTACACCAGGGCATTCGGCCGGTTATATTATTACAGCAGCCCACATTTTAGAAAGTGGTGTGAGGTAAGAAGCCAAGGCCACTGAATGAAGTCTGACAGGGAAAAGACTTGTCAGCAAAGAGCATCAGGCCAGTACTGGCCAAAGGACAAGTGACTTCATCATGTTGAAAGAGTGACTTGTAGAGGAAAATAAAATGTTTTCCTCTTGTTTTGTTTCTTTTCATTTGAGAGGCAGAGTTGCAGAGAGGAGAGACAGAGATCTTCCATCTACTGGTTCATTCCCCAGATAGCCGAGCCAGTTGGAAGCCAAGAGCCAGGAGCCTTTTCCAGGTCTCTTACATGGGTGCAGAGGTCCAAATACTTGAGCCATCCTCTCCTGCTTTCATAAGCACATTAGCAGGGCAGGAAGCTGGAATTGGAGCAGCTGGGACTCCAACTGGTGCTCATATGAGTGTCCATGCTATAAAAAGAAGTTTAGAATGCTATGCCACGGAGCCAGTTCCTTAGCTTGTTTTGTAAAGGCAAGAAGATTGATGGTGTGGGACTGACTGTCTCTCAGTTTATGACAGTCCTGGGCTTGTGTGTGGAGGCTGCAGTGCCACTAAGGAATCTGATGACCCTATACATTGTATCATCAGAGGTTTAATATTTTATGTTAAGAGTACTACTGGGGGGAATAAAGAATACTAGTGGTCCTTTACCCAGGGGCCTGCAGATGTAGTTGCTGTGTTCTGTCAAAAGTAAGGTGCTATATGGACTGGGTTTTTTCCTGCTTAGCCATATGTATTACTTAGTATTTATGTACACTTAACTTTCTCTCTCCACTATAATCCAAATTTAAGTCCCTAGCTCACTCGTTCATGCTCTCTTTCTCTCTCTATCTATCTATCGATAGATAGATATACACACACATATATATAGGTACATGTTTTCCTTTTCCCCATCCATAACAAATAAACTCTGGGAGTGACCGAAAATTATCGCAGCAAAATTTTAATTAGAACTTTTCTCAATTGACAGGATCATAGTCAAGGAACTAAGATGGAGGGGGGGGGATCACTTGATAAAAGAGGTTAGAAAATTGGATGTTATAGCCAAAACCTTTGGGTTTTTGTTTTTGTTTTAAGATTTATTTATTTGAAAGACAGAGTGATGGAAGAAATAGAGAGTAGGGGAGAAAGAGATCTTTCATCCACTGGTTCCTTTTTTTTTTTTCTTTTAAGATTTATTTATTTATTTATTTATTTATTGGAAAGTCAGATATACAGAGATGAGGAGAGATAGAGAGGAAGATCTTCTGTCTGATGATTCACTCCCCAAGTGAGTACAACGGCCGGTGCTGTGCCAATCCAAAGCCAGGATCCAGGAACTTCTTCCAGGTCTCCCACGTGGGTGCAGGGTCCCAAGGCTTTGAAAAGTGGAGCTGCCGAGATTAGAACCAGTGCCCACATGGGATCCCAGCGCATTCAAGGCAAGGACTTTAGCTGCTAGGCCATGCCGCTGGGCTTCACTGGTTCCTTTTTCAAATGACTGCAACAGCCAGGACTGGGCCAGTGCAAAGGCAGGGAGCTGGACTCCATGTTGGTCTCCCACATCCATGTCAGGGCTGAATCAGTTGGGCCATCTTCTGCTGCTTTGGAAAAGAGGGCATGATTAGGATCCTGTGCGGTAGCCTAATGGCTGAAGTCCTTGCCTTGTACTCGCCGGGATCCCAACTGGGCACTGGTTCTAATCCTGGCTGCTCTACTACCCATCCAGCTCCCTGCCTGTGGCCAGGGAAAGCAGCGGAGTATGGCCCAAAGCCTTGGGACACTGTACCCGCATGGGAGACCTGGAAGACGCTCCTGGCTCCTGGCTCAGCTCCAGCCATTGTGGCTGCTTGGGCAGTGAACCAGCAGAGGAAAGGTCTTCCTCTCTGTCTGTCCTTTTCTCTGTATATCTGCCTTTGCAATAAAAATAAGTGAATTGGGCCCAGCGCAGTGGCGCAAGTGGTTAAGGTCCTCACCTTGCATGCCCGGGATCCCATATGGGTGCCGGTTCTATCCTGGCAGCCCCACTTCCCTTCCAGCTCCCTGCCTGTGGCCCGGGAAGGCAGCAGAGGACGGCCCAAAGCCTTGGGACCCTGCACCCGCGTGGGAGACCCGGAAGAGTCTCCTGGCTTTGGATCGGCATAGCATGGGCTCTTGCGCTCCCTTGGGGAGCGAATCATCAGACGGGGAGTGAATCATCGGATGGAAGATCTTCCTCTCTGTCTTTCCTCTCTGTATATCCGCCTTTCCAATAAAAAAAAATAATAAATCTTTAAAAAATAATAATAATAAATAAGTGAATTTTGGTGACTAGTAGGGAGATGGATTAGAAGCAGCGCAACCAGGAGCTAAAGTGACCCGCTGATAGAGGATGCCAGTGTTGCTGGCAACAGTGCAACAGTGTCAGCTGCACAACCAAATTTCGTTTTTTTTTACTGTACCAATCCACAATTTTTACCAAAATGGTAATAAGTGTTTAAAGGACCAGAAAGGGTTAGACTCCTTCACTGGGATGATCCAGAACTGGACTGATGAACTTATACAGAATTAAGTTAGGTTTGGTTGTTTTATTCACATGCCCTCACACAAAAATTATAGAAGCAAAATTAGTATAATTTGTTACTCAGCCTTTTTGTATTTTGAAGAACTATTTATTTTTATTGGAAAGACGGATATACAGAGAGGAGGAGAGACAGAGTGGAAGATCCTCTGTGCAATGGTTCACTCTCCAGGTGACTGAAATGGCTGGAGGTGAGCCCATCAGGAGCCAGGAGTTCTTCCGGGTCTCCCATGCAGGTGCAGAGTCCCAAGGCTTAAGGCCGTCCACTGCTCTTCAGGCCATAAGCAGGGAGCTATATGGGAAATGGAGCAGCCAGAACAAACTGGTGCCCATATCAGATTCCAGCGCTTGCAAAGGGAGACAATTGCCAAGCCTCTATTATTCAGCCTTTTTAACTCAAGCTTCCAAACTTTGCATCTACAGTCTAGCTACAGATTCTGTATCTAATATAATAATTACACTCAAAATTTGTTTGTTTCAATTTCTTCTAGAAAATATTGAACTGGTATGGCCCTTTTCACCTTGAAATCAGTATGAATCTATATGATAAATTAACGTGTGTTTAGACAGGTTCCCTCCTTTCTAAGTCTCCTATTCTTTCTCTTCAGGAAAGACACAGATGAAGCTGACCTGGTCCTTGCAAAAGAAGCTAATGTGAAATGTCCACAAATTGTGATAGCATTTTATGAAGAGAGACTGACGTGGCATGCGTATCCTGAGGATGCGGAAAACAAAGAGAAAGAAACAGCAAAGAGCTAAAGGACGGGGGTGGTCTCTGTCATTTCTCTTTGTACATAATACATTCACCTCCCTGCCTCCTCTTCCTCTGCCCGCCCCTGTCTCTCCTAAACACATCCATAAACAATGTGCTTATCACTGTGCTCCACAGGGGAAATGTTGGTATTGGTTCTCTTGTAGCATAACTGATGGTCTGAGTCATGCTGAGTGTGTCTCTGTGAAGACCAGGCATTTGCATACTGTAACTCCCTCCGTTTGTTTCCTTTGCCCTGATTTCTTCCTCCTGCTCCCCTGTGACCTCAAGATAAGTTTTACCTTTCCAGTCACCTTAGAGTCCTAATCTTTCCAGGGTTGGTCACTTTGTAGATTGGGGGATTTTCGTGGTGCTGATGGTTCATCTTGGTGTCCTGCTTTGGTTCTTAGAACATACAGATGACCAGCTGGCCTTTGTTCTGACGCGTTGGGATGGAAAGGATGTTACCCATCTTTCAAAACGCCTGTGCAGCTGCCACCTGTGGGGGTTTCGCAGCCTAGTTTAGCTCCACCCAGGGGAATACAGGGTTCTTTACTGTGGCCTCGAGGGCCAGCCTCTGTTCGTCCTCCCCCTTCCTGAGAACAACTCCAGCCCTGGGAGAACTTGATGTTTTGTGTTGAAAGTTTGTGAAGGCACTCCTTTTAGTCTTGAGACCTTCAGCCCTGTTCTTCAGCAATCCCTAATTCTTCTGCAAGGTGGTGTCTTAAAATGGCCAGGTTGTTCACTGTGCAGGCTGTTAGCTGTGTAGCCCAAGAGGATGAGGGCGTGGGAGGCGGATGAGATTGTCTTCTTAACCATGTTTGTATGTTTGTGTGCTTTCCTTCCATCCCTCCTATTTAGGTGATGTATTTATGTAGGTGTGAATGATTGCCTGGTGCTTGCTTGTGCCAAGGTGCTAGGCACCCTCCAACCCTGCCAACTTCTGTGGCCTCCCAAAGCATTCCTGTTACCAAAGAGGCTTCAACCTGAGTCGCTTCACAGCGGACCCAAGCTCCCCTCCCTCCCACTCCATGCCGCTGTTTTCCATGGAGAATTCTTGGAGGGGAACCCACTGGCCAGTGTCAGCTTGCAGTGTTCGTCATGGTTAGCAAGATCCTGCTTTCTTGACTCCTAGACTGCCACCAAGATCCCCCAAAGTGTTAACTGTTCCTGCTCCCACTTTCCCCAGTTTTTAGAGTGTGTTTGCCATGGAATACTTGTCACCTCAGAAAACAACAGCTCCCCCTAACCCCCCCGCAGCACTAGTGTGTTGACACAATCTTCTCTTCCTATTCAGCACAATTTTTCCCTTGTATTTTGTTGTTGTTTTTCCCTTTGCTTGCTTTGTTCTTATGTTGAGAGGGTGTTGTTGTTTTTTTTGTTTTTGGGTTTTTTCCCTGATCATATTCTGCATTTGTACCCCAAGAATTACCCTCCTTCTCCCCTTACTTTCTTTTGTGTAGTCAAGGGAGGCTGGAGAGTCAGGGCTAAAAGTAAGGAAGTAGCAGGGTTTTGTGCATCTTTGTCCCAGCCCCAAAGCTGAGGAAATAAGAATAAATGCTTGAAATAGCCTTAATTCTAGAGTTCAGCAGCCACTGAGGCTGTTTTTGTTGTTGCTTTTTTTTTTTTTTTAAACATATAGCTGTCTGGCCAGGAGCATTCAGCCATTTCTAGATTATTCATAATGAGGGGAATGCATGGATTGCTTCAGTCTACAGATGAGCCAAATAATATGCAAATCATATCCCCATTCATAGCATTTGTTAACACTGCTTCCCTGCTCAGCTGCTGATTGAATTCTGTGTGCTTGTATAAATTATGTCAAAAATTAGACTGCACAGTTGAGGAAACAGCTGTTGCTGCAGTGACGTGACAGCCTGGAACAATGCAGCTCTTGGTTGAAGCCGGCTGAGAAAATCCTCCTGCATGATAACATGAGTGGGCGAGCACTCGTAACGCAGACTGCAGGAGGGTGGGAGTTGTTGTCTCCATACTTCTTGGCTCTCTGAAGGAATTAAAGGCCTAGGTCAAGTGGTGGGTAATGGACAGTTGTCAGTACTTAACCTGATGGGCATCTGGAAGTAAGGAAGGGTCGTCAGAAAATGGGCTTGTCGCAGGAGTAACCCAGGACAGCAATTAGGGTAGGCAGGACCAGGACAAAGACAGGCTGGAGCTCCTGTGTCTGGCGTTCTTCATTTGCAGCTGGAGGAAATGATAGCCTTCCCAAGTCAACAGTGGGCATAAAAGCTGCAGAGAAGTGTTTTCAAACCAGAAATCGTAACACGTAGTCAGAGGACGTGACAGTGTGTTGTGCAGAGGTTGGTCCTGAGATGCCTGGGACACAGGGTTTCTGTGGCTATAGGTGCTGCCTAAGATATTCGTCACAGTCTGGTTATGTTTACCAAGGTCACCCCAGCCCCTTCACTACTCTCATTCCCTTTTTCTGCCCTCGGTGTATTAAATGATGTGCCACCAAAACAACGCTTGTTGTCTCCCGCCTACGCCCAGCTGATGCTGCAGGGATGTAGGGAGCCAGAAGCTAATGCTAAATTCAGCCTTCAGCACCCCAGGAACCCAGATGTCTGCCTAACGCTCTGTTAGTGTTGGGGAGCAGTCCTTACCCCTGAAAAGCAGCAGCCTCAAGCTGAAAGCTGTTTCCAAGAACAGTTTCCCTTCCAGACGGTAGCCATTGATGGAGCCCCTCTTTCAATGCCTACGGTCCCTCAGAGGTATTTTCTGTGTGGTTAGCTAGTCCTCTTTGTTCCCAGAGCTCAGCATTAGTGATCTGGTTCCGGGGGGAGTGGACCAGGGACAGCTTAGCTTTTCTAATCTTTCCAATCCCTGGGCTGAACACATGGCCTGTATGGAGTTTAGCTGTTGGGAAAGTCGGCTGGCACAACAGCGCCCATGCTGAAGCTGGGGACACCCATGTTGTTTCCTTTGTCAAGCTGCAGTCCAGGTTCTGGCAGCTCCAAGGAGCATTCGGGCTTGTCCTGCTCCTGACACTCGGCAGTCTTGGGTGGCCTTGGCTGTCCCCCAGCCGTGCCTGCACACTGCTGTCTGTTGATCAAGGGTGGCGCCTGCATTCATCTAGCCACCGTGCAGACCATTTTTCTTACTCAGATCAAGTGACAGGAAGGTTTGGGAGTCTTAAGGTTTGACTGGATCTCTGATGAGTCTAACTCACTTCAGAGATGATGAGCGCTCTAAGTTCTCTGCTCCACCCTGGGAACAGCTGTCTGTGCCCTCAGGGTTCAAAATTTGGAAGGTTTCTGATAGCATTTTGCAATGATACGAGTGCCCAGTTAGATTTGAAATGAGAAAACTTACAAATCAGGTCAAAGGGAAAGCTTGTTTGAGCTCTGTGACACTCTCCATGCTTTTGACTTAGATTTTTAGCGTAAAAATTGGTCTTGAGGTCTATACGTTCATAAGCAGACCCAGCAAGTGTGCCTGTGGCAGGGCAGAGGGAGGGTCTGGAGTCAATAGACTTCATTTTTGTGTGGACTTCTCACTGATCATAAAAATTGCTTTTATTTTTTTCTAAAGTTATTTGCAAAAATAAGAACTGTAAAAGTAGATGGTCTGAATTGGGTTCCCTTTCTACCCACTTTGCAGAGACTCAAACTCCAGCCCCATTCACACATATCTACATTGGTATTACTCGGCTAATGTGGGGTGAACTGACCAACTGAATGATTGGTGTGGAAAATGCTGCCTGTGGGTACAAGGGCCTCATTTGGGGGGCACCTCTGGCTGGTGTTTATGTGGTTTCTGGCCCCTGAGGGACATGAATTGGTTCCTTTGTGAAAAAGACCATAGGTCCACGGGTGGAACCGAGACGGCTACAAACACAGCAAAGCTTGTTTGATTCCAGAAAAAAAAAAGTATGACTGAGGATTGAAAAAATGCTGTTGCTACTGGGAAAGACAGACAATAGATGAGAGGGGATTAAAAGCCCTAAGTTTGATCACTGGTGTATACTCTGCCTAAGTGCTTAGTGGTTTCGTGGCCTGTGGAAAACAGTGGTGAACAGTTGAAGATAACAGTTGTGATACCAGACATTGTATCAGAATTGCTCACACCTTTTGAGTTTGTCTTTCCTTTGGGAGCAATGCAGATGAGGCTAAGCCTGAGTCAGGGATGCACCTTGCCATGACCAGCGAACAGCCAGAAAAGAAGGTCGGGGCATGTGTGCTGCTGCCTGAGCATCCTCCGTGGCTAGTGTAGCAACAGTGTAGTTTCTGAGCAGGGATTTGGTATGGTTAGTTGAGAACTGCCCCCCAGAAGGGTGTGTACTCCCCTGGAGGTCTGCCAGTCTGGGGAGAAGCCTCAGGTGGCGGGAAGGTCTCCAGCTGCCACCCTGGTGACCTACAGCACAGGGTAGTGGAACGCCACCTGAATGATTGAGAGTATTCAGAGTACCTGTTCTGGAAAGTTGCTAAAGCACAGAGTTCTTTGGATAACGTCATAAAAAGCAATTCTAGTTTCTTTCTGCTTGCGCTAAATTCCTTGAATTTTAATCTACCTCATCTTGTCTTTTCAGTCACTTCAGCTTGTTGCTGCCTTGGCAGTATGTTTGACTTGCATTTGCTAAGGTGGAATTGTTGCTATTCACTGCTAGCTCATTTTCTCGCCTTTTCATCTGAGTCCTCATTTCGCTTAACATCATCTCATATTGCTCCTCTGTCAGGAAAAAAGGGCTTAAAGTAGTTGAAGGAAATCTTTCTTTGTGGGATGAAAGTGACCGTCCAATGCTCTTTGTCTCCGAGGTCAGTACGAGAAGGAGTTAAAACAAGATGGTAGGGGAGGGGAAGGACCCTGCACTGGAGGCAAAAACTGACAAGGAAAGAGCCATTAATTAAGACAATTTCAAAGTCAACCGATTGTGATCGTTAATGTCACAATAGATCAAAACCTAATTATCACAGCCTAGGTAAGCGCCATCAGTATTAATCGGAAAATCTAATAGGAAACTATTATCAGGAAATTAGGCCAAATGGAATGCAGTGAACTTTTTATCCTGTCATTCTGTTTTTTTGTGATGTCTCCTGGCATTGGCAGGTGTGACCCTTAGCACTTGGCTCTGAGCCTGAGTGGCCAGTTTGCTACATTTTTTAAGGAATTATTTTTCTTTTAGAATTCCTAACATAGCCTGAACCTGAACTCCCATTGCTGAAGTATCAGTCTTGAACTTGACCATCCCCAAGACTTGGCCTAGTATGAGGAGCAGTCAGTGAGAAAAAGTTACTATTTAGGTCTTGGAATGACTGCTGCCACTCAGAGTGTGCCCAGTGAGTGTGACGCTGCAGGGGGTGATTGGTCATTCCCCAGGAGGGAGAGAGATGGAAGGGCTGTCTGCTTGGAAATTCTCCGTGGATGCCTGAAAAGGACACGTGTAACTGTGACAGCTCTTTGGCTCCAGTCATTGTGGCCCAGATTCTAGTGGCTTGAAGTTTGGATTATAGACCAGAATCAGCCATTGGTCTTCCCCCTGCTCCCCACTTTGCCCCACTCTGTGTCCCTGGTCCGAGTAAAAGGGACAGAATCCCAGAGTAAATCAGGTTTTGTTTTCTTTATTTTTACCCTTCTTGTGTTTAAAAACAGGTTCTACTTTTGGCAGGAAAGACTCAAATTCTCAGTGTCTGTAATGGGTTCCAGAGGAACACTTCATCCGCTCTGCCTGAAGGGCTAAGTGGGGCTCACCAGTTTCTTTAATTTTGAACTGGGCGCTGAAGCAGATGGAGGGCAGGGAGTGCTGGGCAGGTCTTGGGGCCTGCACTGTCAGCTCTGCTGCAGAAGTGGACCCAGCTCTCCTGCCTTGGTGTGTTGTTGCTGCTTTCCGGGTTTGGCAAACTGGAGTTAGTCACACAATGTAAGACTTTGAGAAATCAGTGTCTTGCAGTCCTTTAGCTCTGAGGATGAAGTTAATGTCTTTCCTCCCCCCACCCCCCATATAAAAGCCTTCATGCTCTTAATGTTGAAGATTTTGTTTCTAAAACATCCATCACCACCTGACTTTGAGAAGCAGTCTGTCTCCCCAAGGTTCCTGCTATGACACTAGCAAGCCCTAGGCCCTCAGTTAATCCTTATGCATGTCATTGACTTTCTGCAGTCTGCTGAATGAATGAGGTCTGTCTTACTGGCTTCCTTTTGCTTGCAAGTGCACTCTGGGAAGTGAGATGCTCCAGGACCCGGAACGGGAAATGCAGTGGATGCTGACTGGACCATTGTGTGCCAACCTCCTCAACTGATCCTAATGGCTGACCTTGGGCAAGTCACTCCTTTCAATGCCTCAGTTCCCCATCTGTCAAATGGGGGTAATAATACAGACCTACCTCACAGGGGTGTTGTGAGGCATTGTAAACCAGAAGTGGTAGTATACTCGCGGGTCCTCTGTCCAGGATGCCCTGAGCTGAGCCGCCGAGGCCAAAGCCTTGAGCTCTCCATCCTCAGCAAGGTTGGAAGTGCCCGGCGGCCTCCACGAGCTCTCTGCCCTCCACCCCGCATCAAAGTTGCTGCTAGTTCAAGATGTTTGAAAGTGTTTCAGGAATGTTGGCATCTGCACAGTTCAGACATGCTAAGGAGGTTTCGGGGGAAGGCACTGAGTATTTTCTATGTCTTGCATTCACAAAGAAGCTGTTTTGGACCTGCGAGCGTTGGATTGGGACTGGGGCGGGGGCAGGGGTGCTCTGCTCCTCTCTCTGCAGGTTCCGAACTTGGGCTCCACCTAGCCCAGATGGCCTTCAGGAGCAAAGGTTGCCATCATTGCTTGTCACTGCCTGCACTGGTCCCACACAACAGCCGTGTCGCCATGCCCGCTTGTGGTGTTTGCACACAAGCCTCGCTGCCTCATGGAAACCAGCTGGCCCAGTAGATGAAACCACCTCATCCTTTGCCATGAAAGAGGCAACATTGCAGTCCTTTTTTAAAATGATACATTTAACACTCAGAATTGGACATTGATCTTCAAGCCTTCCTCTAGTACACTGAGCTCAGCATCTGTCATCTCTTAAGTGCCCACAGTCCATGCCTGACCTTTGACTCTCCTTCACCACCCCTGTTTAAGGAAACTTTGGACAGTGTTTCTATTTGTCCCCAGTGTGAGCCCCGGAACCACCTTCTTTCCATCACATTTGAGGGACACAGCCACCTCCTCTTCCCACAGGGCTCCTCTCCTGTCCTCCTCCTCGGCCCTGGATTTGTAACCCATGTAGAAGCACAAAGTCCCGGCCCTGGCCGTCCCTGCATTTCTGTTTTGTGGACTTCCCAACTGAGTCAGCCTGGCACTTGGCAGTTCCAGGTGGTTCCATGGAGCCCTGGAGGTCAGAGGGAGCACAGTCTGATGTCTGCCAGGTGGCCAGAAGTGACTCAACCCACCGACTGGCCCCGGGCCGCCCCCATGCTCTGTGCCACCCCGAGTAACAGGGTCTCCCTCCCACCAGGTGTCTGAATGGAAATGGGAAACGAGGGACTGAGTTTAGGGGAGTGGGGTGGTTTGCAGTTGTGTTTATTGCTTTTATTTCAGCCAAACCAATCTGCTTTTGTTTTCTCTTTAAAGAATAAGTGATCTATGTATATGTTCACCTTTTAAATGTAAATGTTTAAAAGTAGGCATTTATGTGTTTCCAGAACTGACTTCTGATGAGCAGACCTCATTCTCCCCTTCTCCCACCCTCCTCTTCCCTCTTTTCATACTCTTGTATTGGTTCTAATAAATGGTTGCTTTTCAAATACGCATCCTGAGTGGTGGTTTGAAGGTCTGGGTCTTAACACTCCTGGAATTTAAGTCCTAGGGTTGTAGCAGTAGTCGCACATCCCAGTTTCTCGGAAAGCGGATTGATTTTTACGAGGGGTTTTAGTTGTTGCTTTCTGGCTTTCCACGAATATCCACAAGGTGGCGCAAGCAGGAGGAACTAAAAAGGTGTCCGTTCTGTTGGCCTTCCTGCTCTGCCTGCCTTTCCGAGCTCCTGACGGCTCAGAAAACACGTGTTAGCCTGCTGCAGCCCCGTGCTCCCTATGGTTATTAGAATGTATGAGACGCCACGCCAAGCAGGCGAAATCAGGTTTGAAGAATCCCAATTTATGTGAATTTTACAGTTTCTGATTTGTTCCACAAATAACAAAGTAACTGTCTTGTGGAGTTCTGAAGGCGTGTGAGTCAGGGACACGTGGGGGAGGGGGATGATGGGAGGGACAGTGAATCTCAGCTGGCACAAGCCAGTGCAGAGCTGAGTGATGGAGATGGGCAGCAAGGCCGAGGGAGAGCCCCCAAAGCCAGGCGTGACGCTGCCAGGGCCGAGGCTCAGTCCTGCTTTGTGCCATCTTGCTCTGCAATTCTCCCTCTTGTTTTCCTTTCCTGCTGCTGAATTATGGGGTCTCCTCAGTCTAATCTCGTAAAGTCTTATGAAGACATCTGTAGGTTGGCTGGCTTAATGGTCCATGACCCCATAAACATGGGACAGGAGGGCCATTTGGTCCACTTCAGAGCCAGACCCTTCTGGACGTTATTAACTGCCTCCGAAGCCTGGGACTGTGCGCCCCTTGCACTCTCCATCTCTTTCTAGCTCCCGCCCCCTAATGTGCCACCTTGTCCCTGCAGCAAGCACTCTCATCCTGGGGGGCAGGGGGCTTCACACCTATGCTCATGCACCTGAACCACTGTGCCTTGGTTTCTGTTGCCCTCTGGCGAGGGCTGCATCCACTTTGGCACTCACTCAGGTGAGCTCATTCCAGCTTAATCACTCCTCACAGGCCTCTCACCCCATGGACCTGCTGGAGCGTCCAGAACCCCAGGGTTTTTTTTTTTTCCTGCCTCCTTTGGTCTCCGTGGGAAGACTGCTGCCCTGGCAGCTCTGGGGAAATGGAGGTTTATCTTGTAGGTGTGGGCTCTGTTGGCTCCTGGAGTGCCCAGCACTAAATGGCCCTGGGCAGCTAACAGGCTTTTCCTTGGTAGGGTGGATGTGGATGTGTCCCAGGAAGGCGCAGCGGGGCCTTTGGGGAGGCAGACATCCAGTGTGGGAGAATGCGTGAGCTCAGCTCACCAGCGTCAAGTCACAGCCCAGAGTCCTGGGCTCCAAGGCCCCAAGCCCTTTGCGCCTCCTCCCTGCTCTCCTGCCTCCGAGCCCCTCTGCAGCTGTGACATCTTGCTTTCCAGGTGCTGCCTGCCTCTCGGCTTCTTTCCTTATTTGTACAGCTGTATTGTTTATGGTTTCTCACCTTTGTGTACTCCGGAGCATGCATTTTTCTTCTCTCCCCATTTCTGCTCTCTCCACCCCTTGTTCTCTCCATCCTCCTTGAAATGATGCCATAAGCAACCTCAGTTTGGACATTTAATTTCAGCCCCCATCGAATGATTATCTTTCTTGGAGCAATCTGAGTCTCTTTATGAGCTCTTTCTACCCCGCACCACCTCTGGAAGCAGGTGCATCTGGTACTGCTTCCAATGCAAAGAAGCCTCCTCCCGGACCAAGAGAGGGCATGTGGGCCCACAGCGCCCCCAGGCTCCCCTCAGCAAAGCCTGGTTTGGTTGTGAGTCGGGGAAGATAAGAGGGGACATGGAGAATTGAGTTTGCTGATAAATTTACATGAAAAGGTTTGCAGTGATTACTGCACTCTTTCCTTCCCTTTTGCTTTCCTCCTGCTGTTGCCTCCATCTTGGAGGGAGGAGGCCCAGGCATCGCCAACTGCTGCTACTGGGGCTTACAGCATGAAGAGCCGGGGGTGGGGGACAAGGCAAGCAGCACCCATGCCTCTTGGAACGCATCCAGTGCCACACAGCACTCCCCTACAGCCTGTCCCCCCCTTATTCCAGCTCCCGTCCTTCGTCCTTTGGTGCCTCGGGAGCCAGGAAGGCAGGACAGCCCCGCTCTTACTAGTGTCCCGGTCCTGGCGGCTCCTTTGTCCCCTATCACATCCTCTCTTGCTCTGGCTCCTACTCCTGTCAAGTCTAAATATGGAGCCAAGAAAGTGGAGCTGCCATAATTGTGTTTTGGGGCGAGCAGGCTGGGGCACCCTGTCTCCCCTCCTCCTAGGCGGGCTTCTGGGGTGTGTGTTCCCTATACTGTCCCTCCAGTGCTCTGGCCTCACCTGCTATCTTCCTTCTTCATTATCCTTCCCAAGTGTGTGTGGTTTTTAATCGTCGTCATTGGTTCCTATTTTTTTTCTCCTCTCTCTGTGTTTTATTGTTATTTTCTTTTAATTAAAAAAAAAATCTGTTTTTGTGGGAAAGGCAAATTTACAGAGATAAGGCGATACAGAGAGAAAAATGTTCCATCCACTGGTTCACTCCCCAAAGTGGCTGCAACAGCCAGAGCTGAGCCAATCTGAAGCCAAGAGCTTCTGGGTCTCCCACGAGGGTTCAGGGGCCCAAGGTTTTGGACCATCCTCGACTGCTTTCCCAGGCCACAAGCAGGTACTGGATGGGAAGTGGAGCTGCCTTGACACAAACCAGTGCTCATATGCGATCATGACGCTTGCAATGGGAGGATTTGAGCTATCGTGCCAGACCTATCATTTTTCATGTTTCTGTGAACAGAAAGCTGATAAGGGGAGTTTAGGGAAGGGATGGAGAAGGAAAGAAAACTAGAATGTTTCTCCTCTTTCCCACTGGAGCGCAGGGCCAAGGGATGTGGCCAGGTTCTTGCCCCTGTCCTTGGAGTGTCTTTCCAAGCCAGCCCTCCCAATCTCAACAATGATTTGAAAGCAGGGACATTAAAATTTTTATTTTGTCTTTTGGGGATATTTCTTTTTAAGGCAGATATACAAAGAGGAGGAGAAACGGAGGAAGACTTTCCCCCAAGCGGCCCCAATGGCCGGAGCTGAGCCAATCCAAAGCAGGACCTAGGAACTTCTTCCAGGTCTCCAATGTGGGTGCAGGGTCCCAAAGCTTTGGGCTGTCCTCGACTGCTTTCCCAGGCCACAGGCAGGGAGCTGGATGGGAAGTAATGCTTCTGGGATTAGAACTGGCCGCCATATGGGATCCCAGTGTGTTCAAAGCGAAGACTTTAACCGCTATGCTATCATGCTGAGCCCTTTTGGGGGGACTTTTAACCTTGAAAACATAGCTTTGGTGTTTCCTGAGCTCTTTGGAAGGGGCCCTTGTCACAAGGTCATTTCTCTGCCTGACATGTGAGACTCCCAGAGCCATCTTGTGAATAGAAATCACTGTCCTGTAGTGACCAATGAATTCCCTAATTTTGTTTGAGATTTTTACTCCTTTATACTATAGGAGACGGGGTGGTGACACAATTTCATTTTATGGAAATCTCCCATCGCCCAACCACTTGACAAGACATTGGCAGGTGGAAACGTTTTTCTTGTTGCCCAGCCCGCCGGTAGAGGGAGCAGAAGAGCAGCTTCTGGGTCCCGAGGTGGGCTGCCTTATCCCCCATCTTCCTTTTTTTCTGCTTTGGCTTTGACTGGAGAAGAGGGATTTGGGTTTGGATCAGGCAGCTGGGCCGGCTTGACTAGACTAGGGGGAGGGGAGAGAGAGAGAGAGAGGCATAGAATTGCCCATGTGCAAAACCAGGAAATTGCAATGAGATGGGGAGGGAGGGAAGATGAGAGACTGCAAGAAATAGATGATGTGTGGGGCACATGTTTGTACCGGGTCGCAGATGGGAACAATGTGGGGAGCTCGGGGAAGGGGCAGCCAGGCGCCCCCTCGGTCTCCAGGCACGGGTGTCTTCCTCCACCAGACCAATCCAGCTGGCCGGAACTGAAAGGGCTCACTTCTGAAGGTCTTTGGGCAATAAGTCAACTCCACACCCCGCGCCACGTGTTCCCACTTGGAACGCCTTTGCTTTGTGTTGGATGAGCTCTATGCAACTGTGGAGGATATTTGGGTCTCTTCAGAGGCCTCTCTGCATCCTGCATGACACTTTCTACCCTTGTGTGGGGTTTTTTTCCCCCCTCAGTTCACCTGCTTCAGCCGGTCCCAGGAAGGGAATGTGAGTGGGCATGGCTGCAGGTGAGTCTGCACCAGTGCCCCCTCGGAAATCTCAGAGCTGGACCACTGGTCACCCTCCAAGAAGAAACGGGAGGCCTCTGTGTGCTGTGTGTGCATTGGAGAGATGGGTCCATCTGAACATAATT